GTCCAAGCTCACCTGAAATTCGACAAGTCTAACTTCTTTCATCCAATGCCACTGAAACCAATTTGCGCCATGCGCCTGGCAAAAACCCACCCAGCCCGAGGGTGAAACAGGAAAACTATCACGCCAAGCCCGAGGGTGAAACAGGAAAACATCACGCTAAGCCCGAGGTGAAACAGGAAAACTATCACGCATTAGAAACATACTGGTGCACTCTCCCAAAACACACGACACCCTCTGACTTCCAACAGGTGAAACATTCTCATATCAAACGTACCTCAAGCTCATTCAACCGCTGTATTCGCGGCGTGAACTTCAGATTGTCGACATCCACAGCGAATGGGGCTGCCAATCCTGTGAATATAACACATATGCATACTTCTTCAGCCCTCATGAATGCAATGTTTTAATACTTTTCCTGGGATAAGTATGCTTTAATCACTACAGTGCCCTCACATCTTAAAGGGAGTGTTCCATGTTTGCATGGTGCTTTGAACTGAAAAGCCCTCTTGTTGAAGATCATTCTAAGCAGTTCACAGCCCTGCCCATCTCAACACCTAAACTATTGTAGTTTCTCATGAAGAGATACAGGCTGTTTTGGGGAGGCTACCTGAGGGTCACACAGGCATCCATGAAGCCATGGCATCATTCTAATCCTACCATTCCACCAATGCAGTGATCAAGGCCAAGAAAAACATAACTGTGAGGTGTCCACATTTGGCATTTGAGCATGATTTTCAGCTGCAATGGCCATAAATTGCCCCCAATCAATAACATGTAAGGTATGATGACCAAATCAAACAATGACATATTGTGGAGCACTTACTAAACAGAGAAATTGTGTTGCATAGTGGTCTTTTTCACTTAAAAGTATACCAATAGATATAAGTGAACTTATTCCATTATTTCTGATGCTTGCTTCAATATCTCCAAATGTAAACACTCCCTTGAACACAAACACATAGAAGCCTATTATGTTCAGTCGTAGGGCCGACGGCCGGAGGGTGACGGTGGTGGCCGTGACGTCGGCGTCCAGTCCGGTGGCTCGTGACATTGGACGGGGGCCGCGCCTCTCACCGGTGGAGGGATGATGCGAGCGATCCCTGTCTGCTCAGCTATCGGCCGGATCTTGTTGATGTAGGCCAGGGGGTCAGCAAACTCCTCCTCAGTGGGCCGGAACACCGGGGCCTCCGGTGGCGGCACAAACTCAAACTCTGCCGCCATCACCTGCCTGGAGCACAAACACACTTAGGCATGCTGACACTGCTGATATCAGGCTGGGACACAAAAGCAAATTCTGACATTGCTGCCATCCCCCCAACAAGTGTGCCCAGTTGAAGGAGGCAAACACATCAACAGGAACACCTTTAATAACTGAGTAAGGTCAAAGACAAGTGAATGACATATCTGCTCTTGGATGACCCAGCCCATCTAGCAATGCAGGGCAGATACTGAACTGAAGCTTGAACACCCTAGGCAGTGAGCCTCCTGAGCATAAAACCAACATGTGAGTGCCTGCAGGATGTGGAGCAAACTGACATGGAGGATAGATAGAATGATAAAACAGACAACAAATGATAAAACTATGAAATCACACATTACTTATCTTTCTCTTGCACACATGTGGATATATATATATATATATATATAAATATATTATATATATAGCATAACACATACATGTATACATTACATGAACCCCAATGTCTTTGTAAGAATTGTACAGAAAATGATCTCTTGCAAGGCCAGTGCAACCAACTTTTCCAAGGAAACATTTAAGGGCTTCCCAAGCAGATCAGGAGCTTCTTATACCAAGCCTCACCTAAAATTTTCCTACTGAATTGCATTCCCTTCTTAAGCCTTTAGCCTTTAACTTATGTCAGACAGACAGTATCCTGAAATTAGATGTGAAAGGTGGATAGCCAATAGGTGAACAAGTTAGCTTTACAGATGGATTGAGATAAGATAGTCTAAACTGTTTTACCCATGACAGCTATGTTTGCATACCCTTGCCTCCAGCACCTAAAAGCATATTTGGCTGGATGTGAGGTAAATGTAACCATGACCAGTGACATATAGGTAGCTGAAACTTCACAGACTTCAGTCATTATTACAACATACACTTCAAACTATGTGAGGCTGTGACCCATTGGTGAGGCATATACCAAAGGTAAAGAAAACCCACTGATGTTGCCTTGATTCTCCTTTTGTGATTACTATTCAGTGCCATGAATAGGTAGAATACAATTTAAAAGACTGTACCTTGGCTAAAATGTAGCTGCACCAACTACCATGCCCCTGATGCTTTCATTTATTGTGGCTTGCATGACATTGCAAACATTATGTGCTCAGTGGAATGATGCAACAGGTGCACAGCATTTTAAGCACCTGCTTCTATCAGCCTGTATTGGGACAGACACCTTTACAATATATTATTGATATCAACAACTTTCTATCAGACCTACTTAGGGAGCCAGAAAATTTAAGAATTGCAAGCAGCCAATTCCTAATGGTCTTTGGCAATCAATGAGACCAACTAGGGCATGGTGTTCACTATCATCTGCTGCCAAAGAATGTCCTTTAGTACCAGCTGTGAATGCAGTGCAGATTCACTTGGGTTAATTTGTTCTCGCTACTAGCTGTGATTCTAATATTTTTGTTCTCTCCATGAGCCAAAACCAGATTTCTGATAAAGCATGACATGCATGTCAATGCCTTATAATCAGATTGCTGCATGACATTTATTTTGATTCAGTATCAGAGGCATTTGAGATCCTGGGAGGCCAGTGGAGAAAACATTCTATCAATCATTACCCAAATTCGAGTGATGTGATTCATGTCATACATACCTGCATACCACACATACCTGTTTCATTTGGTGTTGGATGACAAATATCCCAACACAAAAGCTTAAAACCCTGCACACCAAGTGACTTGCCGAAATGCGCCTGAAAAGAACATTGCATCAGCCGCTTTGGATGACGAACACTGCTGGCGTTGAACAGAAGTTGGCTATTGGCTAAATGACTGACATGCCCTCCTTCCTTTCACCATCGAACCTATGCATGACCCGCTCAGGCAAACACCCATGCAAATTGGAAACACATCACACGAGGCTTCCAAGCACGTTGTTTCCTCCACACACCTAACATCGCGCACACTTCGCCAGTCCAACAAATCAATACGATCGAGTTAGGGCCAGATGCTCCACAAAGGCATCCAAAATGGCGCTCCGTATTTGCCGGTAGTCCCCAAAGAGCAAGGATACCACAAACACAACCTGCCATTCGACAACTTCTTTGTGTTGCTTCTACGTCATTGTATTCACCGGCCGGTGTGCTCAAGGTTTTCAAAAAGCGAAGTCGAAACGTAATAAGTGGAAGGGGCGAAGGGAGAAAGGGTAAGGTTAGGGTAAAGTCTGGATGAAAATAATGCGTTTTCTAAGTTGAATTATAGCAAGAACTTAAAGGAAATGTTGCATCATGAATGACTAAGGATGACTCTTAGTCTTCCATGGTTACACATTTGAAGATGTCGACGCAAGCACCAGATATCATGAAATGAGCTTACCGTAACCATTGGCGCGCTTTTATCCGAATATGACTTCCCTAGACAGCGAGCTTTAACTATTTAGCGATTATGTCACTCAATACGTCATCGTTTAACCGTGTTATGAAGAATGTTTATGACGTTGGGTCACTGCGAGATTGACCGTGACAGAATTTTCACGGCCAATTATTACGGACGGGCTGACTCACTAGAAGTGCTTCAATCTCCGGAAAGGAGGTCGAGGTGGCTTTGGTGGTGTTGACTGAACGGAACGTCGTTACCCACTCAGCATGTCCAACTGCGACCCATGTGGATCCGAGATGGACAGCCGCATAGGGCCATCTGGCTACCCACTTCGATCCTATGTGGGCATGCCATGGGCAACCGCTTGGGTCCCCCATGGGAATCCTCCTTGGGCCCATATGGAGCCAAGCTGGAATCCACATGGTGCCCACCTGGGTGCCCAGTTGGGACCCACATGGGCATCTCCAACTGCGCCCCACATGGGCAGGCCACCTGAGCCCATATGGGACCAAAACTGGAACCCACGTGGCGCCCACCTAGACTGCCCAGTTGTACTCAAGCGGGCATGTTCAGCTGGGATCTACATGGTTCATGGGTGTAGGAACGGGGGCGGGGGGGCCCATGCATCCCACTTTTCAAGGTGAGGGCCAGCAGTGTTAACTGCTCTCCCCTCCTCGACTTCCCGAATTAAGGTTGTGTCACCTTTCTTTTGCGCTGCATTTTATACATACCGATTTATCTAGTTCACCAGCCATCTTCCTCAAGATGCGCCATTTTTTCGTTTGCTCATTGACCATCTTGAAAATTTTAAGACGAACATGGGCAGCACGGCAGCCATGTAAAGCAAGTTTGGGACCCCATTTCATGCACAATCTACGTCGAGGGAGTTCTCAATATCCCTGAAAAAACGCAGAACAATATGGAACTGGAGTCAATGTAACAATTATCAGACCACCTGCAGCGATCAGGAATATTGCGTCAGTGAGGGTTCTTGGGCTGATCCGGGGAAATTATGCGGGTCAGAAGGCCTCCCGGGTCAGGGAGGGGAGCAATGTGATATGACGTATCCTTCTAAGCTTCCCGGATCGACCAGGAGATCCCACCTCGTGCTGTCAAAATGATAGCCATAAGACACTTCGCGATGGGACGGAATGGCCCTTCAGCCCTGACCGGAAACGGTAACGTGGCTCCTAGTGTTCTGCTCAGGGGACCCTTTTGCGTGGAACGAAATAAGGGGTCTCAACATTGTTGAATAAACTGGGGATCTCGTTATTGTTGAATAGAGAGGGTTGAAACGAATGACTGAAGCTTATTTGTTCAGAGTGGATTAGCGACACAAATAACATTAAAAGTTTGAACATGCCCGCCCGCAGCTTCGGGAGCAAGGACAGCGATGGTCTGGGCTGCAGTTTCCGTAAAACCGAACGGCGTCGGCCACTAGTGCCACCACATGGCGGGCGTCGTGTTTATTTGTCTTTTGGACAGATTACTAGTACAGGAATATGAAAATTAGAGGTTCTTCCTTTACTCTTCCAGTGACCTCTCAGGTTCCAGCGCCGCTTCACGGTGCTTTGGGAACCAATCCGTTTTCATCATTCCACGTCCACAATAGTACGAAAACCAATGACGGCGATTGTGGCTGTGACCCGAGCTCTCATTGGTGGGTCGCTGATTTAAACCGAACCAATGTCAGTGACTACCATGGGACAACCCGGGAGGATGTGAGCGTATCTTATGGATGTGACGTTCCGTGTTGTTTGCTGGCGGCGTGCATACCGAGCGCGTCCCCTCCTCGGCCTACCTGTTCCTCAACCACGAACCCGAAGAATTTACCGAAACCGCCACAAAGCCAAGTAAGTTCCATGGGCTATTTTGCGCTTGTGATATCGACTTTCGACGATAAACGTCGCAGAGGTCGTCTGTGGCAGGTGCCAGTCTATTTCTAACACGACTGAACGTTAGTCAGCTTTCACCGTACCAAACCATGTATAAATTTTACCTATTCCGCTTTTGTTCAAGGCAGTGCATGTGACTCAGTACGACGACTTTTGATACAAGATAATAGAAATCCCTTTTCAGCGGCCATCAAGCGAAATACAGCCTGCCATTATGCCTCCCGAAAGAAGCGGAGAGGGCACTAGGAAAATGGTTTACCGACGGAAGGGACCGAGACGGCGCAGACAACGTCGCGCCAGCAAGGACAACACCAGCAGCGCAGATGACATTGTTTAAACATTTAGTAGTAATGACGCCGGGGAGTGGGTAAAGTTATAACTGCACTTTGTGAATTACGGTGTCGATGCCAAAGCAGTTTTGTACAAATACATACATAAATACCAATGAAATGACGGGGTTTGTCACTGATGATGCAGTACAGTCCGCCTGGAATAAAGGTGATTCAATTCATAAGGTGGGATTCACATGGGCAGGTCACATGTGCCCAAGTGGGACCCATCTGGACTGGCTCATGCGGATCCCAACTGAGTTACCCAGGTGGGTCTCAACTGGGTTGCCCAAGTGGGTCCCAACTGGGTTACCCAGTTGGGTCGCATCTAGGCTGCCCAGGTGGATCCCATGTTTATCCCAGCTAAGTACCACAAGGGCCCCACATGGGCTTCCATGTGGAAACCAGTTGGGTGCCCATGACATGCCCGCTTGGGCCCGAGGTAGCAAGCCCAGGTGTGCCCTATTCCTTTATACATCTCGGATCCACGTGGGTCCCGGTTGTAAACGTTAGATGGGCCCTATGTGTGCCCCAGTTAGGTCCACATGGGCCCAACAAGGATCACCCTTATGGGATCCAGGTGTCCGAAAATGTCACGCCCACATGGGACCAACGTGGACAGCCCAGGTGGGGCCCCATACGACTGTCCAACTGGGACCCATATGGGTTCCAATCGGACATGCTGGCTGGGTATTCACCCTCTGTGGTTGTTAGATTAATGACAACAATGTATTGGTCTAAACAGCACCACGAAGTGGTGCTGGCATCTGGTGGTGGAACTGGAATAGTAAAGGTAAAATCTCTGTTTCGGTGTTGTTGCTGTTTATCTTTCCAGAGAACAGCCTCAAAGTTGAAAAAGACTCACCCAGTGTACTCTTAAAACTTTACAAATATGCAAAACCAAATCTGAAAGACACTCAGTAACACTATTTTTGCGATGGTCATTGTTGCGCGCACGGCCCCCCCGACCCCTGGTGTTACTTGCAGAGGCCAACGTTGTTCGGTTTTACGTGGCCTGCAACCCAAACCATCGCTATCCGTGCTCCCCGGGGCTACGGGCGCGTTATTGGGGCTTTCTGACGCATTCATCTGCTGGAGCTATATGGCGTCGCCGCCCTCCCAACCTGGCGGGAGAGGCTGACACCGCGGAGAAACGAACCCCGTACTTGCGATTTCCCAGACGCACGATGGCTAACGCGGGTGCGTCAACCACTGTGCTGTCGGCACCTGGCCCACAGGCTCGGACTTTTGATGTTATTTGTTTCATTCGTCGATTCTACAAGCGTAATGAACGTTCTCAGGGAAACATGCGATGGCCGCGTGCGTTTTGAGCTAATTTCGACCCACTCCATTCAACACTAATGAGACCCCTTATTTCTTTCCGGTAAATGGGCCCTCTTGAGCACAACACTACCGAGCACATTGTTGTTCATGGTCAAGGGCTGAATGGCCCTTCTACCCCACCGTGGTGTGTTCCGGCCGACATTCTGCGACACGGAGCGGTATCCCCTGGCCGATCTGGAAGTCTTTAGAGGGATACATCGTATCACGTTGGTGCGCTTCCTGACGCGGGAGGCCCTCTGATCCGCGCAGTTGACCACGGATCGACACATGAACCGTCATCGACACGACAACATCCCTGCTCGCCGCAGGTGGTCAAATAATGAGCACATAGACTGCAGTTGGACTTAACAAGCTCATGCTGGAATATAGGAGGGTCCACTGTTCGGCACTGGGGGCCCTGACTGGCACAGGACTCTTCCATTACCTCAATGTGAGTATCCATGATAAGTTTTATGTTTTTTCAATTGTCAGAGGAATCCGACCAAAGCAAGAGAGTCTCTGTCATTCGGGCTCCCGTCCCCGTCCCTGTTCAGCAAATCTTCCTCTGACCGACTCGCGGACCCTTGTCGACATACAGTGCCCTGTTAGTCATTGCGGGCCCCTGAACGATGCAGGAGCCCGACCAGCGTAAATCTCGGGGCCGGCGTTATCACCGCTTTTGAAATGGGCCCCTAAATCTCAGACCAACTCAAAGCCAACAGTTCGTTTCACGTGGTCTCTGGCCGAAATAGAGAAACGCTCCGGTTCAGGGTTTCTATCGGTGCAGGAGCTCATATTCGTATGGCTTCGTGGCGGCCAAAGCTACCGGCCTGCCCCTAGCGGCCGGGCCAAGAACTTATCATGCAGGCGTCTGCCTCCATTATCGTGATGGCGGGGCGCGCTGGTATGAATAAAATAAAAACTATTTGAGCTACTCCCGTAAGGCCTTTCATGATTAGAAAACTGTGCAGTGCTCAAAGCATGCAGGTCAGCATGTTTAATAAAGAACAACAAATCACTTTGAGCTGACATTCGAGGTGAATGTGCGAATTGGCCGTCAATTTCCCCGTTCAGCGAAAAAAGCAATGATCGGGTC